AGGGCCGTGGGCGGCTGAACCTCGCCGAGCTCTTACAGCCATCCCCTCGCCTATAGGGATCGGGTGCTTTGTTCGAGAAAAGCGACTGTTCATAGCAGCAGCTTATGTACAGTTACTGTGACAGCTGGCACTACTAACATTCTAAACTCTCATCGTCTCTATTTATCAAGCCTGAAAATGAGATGTTTTTAGAATGTGAGTTCAAGCTTGGCACATATATATTTATTTATTGATAGCGAAGACTTTATAAAATTCTACAATACCTGGCCAGAGCTTACAGTAAAGTTATAGCCCATAATCTAATGAGATTTTTGCACTTACAGTAAGTTTCAAAGTCTTCAAATCTAGATCTACCTGAGTGCAGAGTCTCAATGCAACCAAGACGTACAAAATGGACTACTCATGGCAATGCATTGTGCTTAAAACTTAGACTAAACCCATTTTAATTTCAGCAGTGCGAGCTATTTCAATGCACTTCTCTAGATCACATGATTTTCTTCAATTTTGATAATGTTCCTACTCTGCTGTTGGTGTCCTTGACCCTTGTCTCCCATACTTCCAGCTCCCCCACACTCTTGCAATAGAACAACGCATTGTCTATGCAGAAGAGCTTCAGTCTATCAAAATCTGAAAACGGCATAGCATCAAAATAATTCACATAGGACTGTAGCGTCCGTTGTTTTCAATTTTAGCAATAGGTAAAAATTTAATAATATTTAAGCAACAAAAATTAGAGAGTTCAATATTTTAACAATAAAATAATGATTTTTAACAAATCTTTTAAAAATCTAGGGTTTATTTTTAACCAAGTTGCAGAATAACTTTCTAAGTGCCTAAGATAATAACCTCCTGAGGGTGTTGTCTGAGTTATAGCATGGCCTGACCCACTCGTGGTGCTGTACGTGATAGGCAATTAATCACACTGTGAGCCTAGCCCACTGTCTTGCAAGGAACGTTTGTATTCTAACCTGCCCGCTGAAGTTCTTTACAGCTAAAACTAGTACTCCCTGATTTTGCTGACTGTTAATGGAGACAGAGCAAGGGGAATTATGTCACTCAGCATGTCTCATTTTGTATTTTTAAATGCAAATTTTTGCAGATGCCTTTGCTACTAGTGGCAAATTGCTCAAATCTTTGTTGTTGTCTTTCTTCCTTATGATAATATAAAATAGCAAATTCCTTTCCGACCCTCCTTGTGACTGCTGTGGGGATCACACAACAGAAAAATAGCATCTGCGTGTGTGAGACCCTGTGAGAAAGCACCCTCATTTGGCACAGAGAGTTTCAAGATTGTGTTCTTGACGGGGATGGAGATGATATCCCAAAGTTGATTGCATTGTCCTGTAGCAGCTCCTTGCATTTGATTTAAGAACAGCATTTACCTGAATTCATTCGTGGGACAAAGAGCAAAGCTCAGTCAGAGGCTCTGCAAAATGACTGTGCTCATCAGAGGTGTTACCAACTTCCAGCTACATCATTAGGTGTCTGATAGAAGTCACCTCCCACCGCACCAGAACACATACTGGTGGAAGAGAGAGCCTTTGAGTTCCTCATTTCTGCTTAAGTACAGAAGCATTTAGCTTAAACAGCTTTCTATATTGGGTTTCATTATCCAGCTCCCTTTGCACTAAAGCAAATGAGACATGCCCACGTGATCTGTTTTTCTCATTTTACTAGATGAGTATTAACCTTCTGCAGAGGAACAGGGACAAAAAACTTGCGGAGTAGTGGCATTTCAGCTGCACTAGTGTTTCTCAGTGACTATCCAGACATCTCTCCTTTAGGAGAATGTTACAATATCATGGACTCTTCAAAGATTAAGTTGTAGGCTGAAAAATATTCAATCGTATCGTAGGCTTTATGTGACACATAACAAAGTGTAATCCCCGGCAACTGGTTATAAGAAGTAATCCTGTTTAAATACTAAACCTCCTATAAATTTCAGGTTTGACTGGGATTAATTAATGGCTCCTGTGCGAACATTGTACTTAAGCAGATTTGCAGAGCTCTGAGATGTCTACTCCTGTGCATAAGGGCAGATTTCATCTGCATAATCACCCTTTTTTCCTCCATATTAGTTATTGATGATGATCATGGCATAACCCTTTCATCTACCTCTCTTATGCGCCACACAAATATGGTAAGTACCATTGTCATGTGGTGGAAAAAATATTGCCACAGTACTTTCTATTGCTGAGTGGTTTTCTTCATCCCGTATAGTACCAAACTCTTCTGAAATTCTTGTATGCAGATGCTGCTGCAACAGCAACACTATTTGTACATAGCTGGGCCACCTCATCCTTTCATGCTTCTTCTTTTCTTTTTCCCTTCCATCCTCCCAGAGTAAGTAGGGTCACTGGCAGGTAGAACCTAAAACCACCTAAGGTCCCACTGAGCCTTGTGTACAAAACATTTAGTAATGCGGTGATGCTTTTGACAGCACAACAATGCTATCTGTGTATCCGTCATGAAAGGTTCACTTTCTGTTGTTCATCACTAATTGTAATACTTGTCAAGTTTAATAATAAAGTGTATCTCTTCCTAAAGATAGTCACCTAACTTCCTTTCAGGGAGGTGGAGCAAATTAAACTGACATTAAAAAACCTCCTTATTTTAAAATATTGGTGCAATGGTACTAGAACTCTCAGTAAGGTCAGTGAAATGACTGTTGCAAGAAAGAGACAGGCAGCCTTTGGAATAATTTATATTAACATGTAATAAGGTGGAGGATGTTTTGGGTTTGTCCCTGAGTGTGTGAATTTGTGTGCAAGTCACCTTTCAGCAAGTCTATAGACTCAAATAGTTTTCCAGTTATTTATATTCTCTTATTAAAACACAGCCATCTGTCCAACTCATCTAAACTTTTTTTTAGATGCCAATGGTATTAGTCTTTCAACTTCTAGCTCTCCTAACTGATCTGTCTGGAGTGGCTGACTTTCTAGATGTACTATTTTGGCAAATAGTTCAATTTATTTCTGAAGTTTTTTATACTAACTAATATGGTGGAAGGTGGTATAATCCTTGAAAGATTCGTAGGCTGGAGGGTAAGGACGAAGGTAAGGGAGAAGGAAGATGAGAAGTTAAAAGGTTTGAGAAAGAATATACCGAGAATAAGCAGTCTCTTCAAAATGTGGAACTAGCTTTGATGGAAAACTTCTGGTTGGGCTGTTCCAAAATAAAATGAAAAAAAAATACTCTCTATGCCAAGGATTTCTTGGCTACTTAGGAGTATATGCTGCAATAAAAAATAGATGTATTCACAAGAAATTATATTTTTGTTTTATATTCTCATACAATGGATCAAGATATATATTTTATGTCCTTGCTAGAGAGGCAGTATTTCAGGTTAGTATTTGGTAGGATTTTATTATTCTACCTGAGTAGAATTTTTATTAGAGATTGCTATCTCAGTAGTGTTAAGCACTTTTTATTCACTAAAAAAAAAAAGTGTTTCTTTGTGGATAGAGAGTTCTCACCTTTCCTTAAGCCTATCTCTGAGGCACAGGTAACACCTAGAGATTTTTTAATAATGCTTTCAGTTCCTCCTCTTTACAACCTCTTCTAATTGATTTGATTATAAAGATAATACATTTTGGGGACTAATCATAGGATATATATATAGTAGAATAATATATTAGTCTTCTCCTCTTGCATTGGATTTAAAAATTTTCTTATTTAAATCTGATCTTTTGGTACCAATAGGAACTATATTTCCAGCATTTTCATCAAGTGTTTTTTCAAGCAACTTTCATGCAGTAAGTCTTCTGACTTCATTCCTGTTAGCTGATTGTCAGGATTTTGCTGACTCTTCCCTCTTTACACGCACAGGATTCCTGATATAGAAAAGCATTTCTGAAGAATGTTTTGCAATGATGAATCAGAGGAAAAAAATGAAGGGAGGGTGTCTTGTTTTCTGCTGGTCAAAATATTGCAAACTCTTCAGTTTCATAAAGTGCTGATATTTCTTCCATGCTCATAGGAGAATAATTCAATAGCCAAGTAACAGTAGCAGAAGAATGGAGTCTGTGTGTGCATGGTGACTGTTACTGCTTAAACCTATGTCTTTCCCAGTATCCTCATCTAACGTGGAAGCAACCTCTAAAGCTTTTTGAACTCAAGTAGGTTTTATTCCAAGCTAAAGATTACTGCTATTTCAGTTTCAAAGCCTGAGTTTGTTTAGTTTTCACCTAAACACTAGTATCCAGATCAAATAGCTTGTTGTGGTTACATTTTTTTTTGTCAATAATTAGCCAGACATTTAATACAGCACTTTGCAAATACCATTTATGCTATTTAAAATGTTATGTATTGTTCTGTAGTATCTTCTGGTTTCATAAATGCAGTACTCTCACAGCTATACTAATAAATTTGGTAGTTGCTCGATATTCTATATCTAATTTTCGCAAGAAATTAGAACTTTACAAGTTCTTTATAACGTATTATTGATTCTCAGCAATGTTGTTTTCATATACTTTTGATTAAGCTGTTTCTTCCTTGTGATACTGTAAGAATTTCTTTGCCTTGTAAACAAAACCACCAATGTAGGAAATTCTATTGCTGAACTTCTAAATTCTAAACTTCTAGTCCTTTTTCACCCAAAGTTTTTGAGATTTTAGGAGTTAATGATTATATTTTTTTTTTGACAAGGCACAGGGTATAAACTACTTTTTTTTATTATTAAGTTAACATTGTGCTTTTAAATATCAACAGCAATAAAAAATATACATGAGTGCAAATTGTTCCTAGTCAGGAAAATCTTTAGAGGGATTCTGTCGCATGATAACATTCTGTAGAAATACGACATGTATTGTCTTCAAGCCTAGAGGATTTCCTTGCAGAAATGCAAGGATTATGTCTGACTCTGTTCCAGCTCTGGGCTCTGACTAGCACCCTACTTTGTCTGCAGGTGTCCACATGGAAACGTTGAAATAGGAATTACATTAACCTTTCTGTTTAGGTGTGTACCTCTACCTGGCTTGCCTTCTGTCCTCTCGCACAGATCCAGAAGAGCCCGTCTCAGTCTAAAAGCCAATGCTGCGTAATCGTTAGACCCGTTAAAGCCCCCTTTCCAACTAGACCAGCAGAGGTGTGAGCCTCATCAATAATTTCAGTGGGGATGAAACAGGCCTGAAACATCTGCTCTTTTTTGGCGTGAAAACAAAATCGGCATTTCAGTAGAATTTTTAGTTGTAATTTTAGATTAAAGAAAACACTGAATTAAAGAAAACAGTGACGTCAACGAATAAAAATTAAAACGTTGTGGGAGGGAACTCAGTGTGGTTATACTTGTATAGCTGGTGGGTATATGGATGTGTGTACAGATACATATGCTGGCACAAAATCCTTTCTGCTTTAATGGACTATAACTAACTCTGAGAAGTCTTTCAGGTTTGATACTTTGTTATTGCTTTTTTTCAGATATTCTAGTTTTTAAGGCTGCTTGCATTCTCCAAAAGATTCTCTCTGCCATGACTTGATAGTTGCCGTCAAGAGCTTGTGCTGGCAGCCTCTGCCAGTTTTTTCCTCCTTGCCTTCACTGACACAGAAACGGGAGCATTCTGTATATGTATGTCCATATGGGGTTATATCATACATCTTAGGAAGAAATTAAAGGCAGAATGGGGATTTTCCTTTGAAATACTGTGTTTGGAAAGGATTTTCTCCCGCCAGCAGTGATAGAAAGCTGTCCTATTTTATGATTTTTGTTTTCCATCATGTAGTTTTTTAACTAGTTGAGCTTAATCACCCTTAACTGGAAAGGCCATTTAGGTCTTAGTGTTACACACTTGTCTCTGAACAAGAATATCTTAATAAGGATTTGCTGTGCATTATAATTTTCTAGGAATGCTAAGAGCAGAGTCTTTGAATTTGCTTTATCTTTTCTTCAAAATAATTCAGTGTTTACCTCAGATTTTGGATTAACTCTTTTGATTATATGTAGTTAAAGGCACAACAAATCAGTCAAGAATATTTAGTCACTGTCTTTAATAATCTTATCAAAAATTCTATGGCAAGTACAATACAATTTTCATTTTAATAAGTCCAGTATACTTCTATGCTTGAAGTTTTTCTTTTATGTCTGCATATAGAATGACTAAAACTGTTTCGGGTATAAGTTGTTTCGTCGTTTGCATGATTTTGTTCAATTTGTTTTGGAAATGGGTAGTATCGCCTATATATACTGTATACTTGGAAATTTTTTATAATTCAGAAGTATTTGTGAGGATCACCATAAGAAGCATTGCAGACAGCCTGGCATGGGCTTCCAGAATTTTTTCCTGATGGATTTTGGGTTGCATTTTGGTGCTGTATTTTTTGAGGCTTTTGGTTTGTTTTTTAGATTCAGCAAATTTTACAGCAAGTATTTTCTTTGTATGTATGCTAGCCTGTTACTTCAATCTATTGTTTCTGTGACAAGGTTCCAAAATCTTAGGATCTGTCTGCACCTTACTCACTGTCAGCCTATAAATGCGTGTGAAGCCACAGAGAGGGACTGGCATTTGCTCCTGTAAGTGCCATATACTGTAGTCGAAGTCTTGGAAATATGGTATGGAGTGGTTATCTTATAAAAAGCCCTCAGCCTGAAGAACCAGGCTCAGCTGATGTCATGCTGTATATTGCAATATTTCCTACATAACTTCTATACAAATTACACCGGGTTTTCTCTCATGAGTTATGGCTGTACTGTTATGCTGCCTACAGCAGTGCTCATGGATGGCACGTTGGGTTTTTCTGGAATGGATGAGTGGGTGTGACCAACAGGTTTCTTGCCTGTGTGGTGAGGGTGGGGGGAGAAGAATGAGATATCTGTTTCTTCATTGGCTCCTTTTTTCTTGCATCTGTTGGGTCTGAAGCCCACACGTGGATGTGAACTAAGTGATGATGGCCTAGAAGAAAATTGCTGCAGTTTTCAAGGGTTCTCAGGCCTCCAAGGAAAGAGAGAAACAACCTTGTTGCTCGATCTAGAAAAATATTGAAGAAAAAGCACAAAATTATTCAAATGCATGGCAGCGTATTGCAGAGAGAAGGGAATAATCTGCTGTCCCTCTCTGCTGAGAAAAGGACAGAATGTAATGGACATAAATTGCTAAGGCAGAGGCACAACTTCAGGGAGGCAGTAAGGGATTCATTTTGATCACA